TCACCAAAGCCTGCCAAAGTCTGACTTCAGGGAGATGCATTTCTTCTCTTCTGGCTGAACGTCAGCTTTAGGGATGAATCTCAGGCTTGTTTTTTTAAAATCTTCTACCCCTGGCCATTTCTTTTCTCTCCACTCCTAGTCCAAACAACCATCGGCTCGCACCAGAATTATCGCAGTGTTCTCTTACTTGACACCCCTGTCCTCAGCTTTCCATCTCGTCTCCCTCTACTCTCTGCAGAAAAGCCAAACTGGCCTTTGTAAAGGCTAAATATGATCATTTGTCTCCTGCTTAAGGCCTCTTAGGGTTTTTTTTTTTTCCCCCTTCTTCTTCACTCCTCTTGGGAAAAAAATCCAACCCCATGTCAGGGTTTCCAAACCCTAGTGGTTTCTGGCCTTTCTCCGCCTCTTTCCCCCTCTCTCCCTGGCTCCCTGGTCCCTTTGCTTCTCCAGCATCTTAAGGACACCTAGGCGTGCAACAGGTACTACATACACTCTATGCCTTATCCTCTCTTCCACCCTGGACCCACCCCTTTGCCCACCTCCCACTCCATCTCAGCTTTGATGTCACTTCTTTCGAAAAAGCTTCCCTCCCTCCTGAATCCAACTCCTACTCTTTCCCTTGAACTGCTATTTTCCTTCAGCACGTTCATCACACCTGGCAAGGCACAGCTATGTCATGATCATTTGCTTACGGTCCCTCTCTCCCTCACAAACTTGTAAACTCCGTGAAGAAAGGCAGACCTGCCTTTCCCTCTCTGTGTCCCTTCAATAACCAACCCAATCTCTGAGACAGAGCAAAGGCCAAAGAAGCATGTGTTATATGAATGAGTGAGTAAATTAATTGTTAACCACTGAAGTAAGTGAAAGAATGAGGTTTGAGGTGATTTACTTTAATCATTCTGGGCCTCACGTGTCTTGCAATAGATGATCAGCTATGCCTTTTGTAAATGGATCATGCAGTATTAGGAAAATTATGCAAACAGTTAGAAACATAGCATTTCTCTTCCCCGATAGTACCATATAACTCTCAAAAGTCTGCTACGTGTAAGCAGATAGTTGTCTTATGTAATACAGAAACTGCTGCCTTGAATTAAAGACATCATTATTTTGGAAAGTTCATCTTTCTCTGGTACAAAAAGTGAAGGATCCATCCCTCATATAAACACATAATCTTCTTGGCATGCCACATGATTAAAGAGGAAATGCGATTTTATTTTTCTGGATACTGATATTTTTCACAAAGCCAGGAAGAACTATCAGAATAAAGGGATGTTTGTTTGGGTGAATCACCAGCTTTATACAAATCCCATGTGCTAATTGCATAATGGGTCTTTACAAAATGCTGTAATATGGGTTTGGCTGGTTTCTTCTGCTCTGGGTTTGAAAAATAGATTGTTTAGTAACCCATCAAAGATATATGTAAACCAAGTAAACAAAAGAGCAGATGTTGACTGCTGTCTTGTGCCTCGTAGACATAATTAAAAACAATGAGACACTCACAGATTCAAAAAATAGAGAACAAATACAAACACAAAAGTCAGTACAATAGAAATGTAAACTGCATTTGCTGGACACCTGCTTTCTCACTCCAAAATGCTGTATCGTATTTCCCATGATGAAAAATTTGTGTAATGTTCTTTGTTCACCTATATATACATATACGCATTCTGCTCTCCACTTTTCAGGAAGACAAGACAGTAAAAGGCAATCTTCCACAATGAGTATTAGCTGCAGTTTCATCACTACTGACAAGCACTTTGGACAGTTAAAAAAAATGTATAAGCATAAATGTTAATAAGAACCAGATAGCTAAAACTTTCACATTTACAGAAGAAATTCAAGTGACAGTTTGGGTGGGGGTAGGGTAGAGTAGGACTTTATTCATTTGTCTTTGCATTTATTCCTTCATGTATTCATTTAATAATTCTACTAAATTGACATTTTTATTTCCTGAAAGCCTTATGTATCTTTTTTTTTTAACTAAAGAGCATTTCCCAAAATCCAGATTTCATCATAGACAAAAATATTCCTGTTGACTAGAGTATTCAAAGTATCATTCTAATTTTCTAAATATTCTGTTTTACCCCCTCAAACTCCTACTCTATCTTCTGTTGGTTTTCAGTTCTCAGTTCTATAGGGAAAGAAATATCACCACACACACAAAATGAAACACACGGTATAATTAAGAAAACACAAGTGCAATTTATTTATTTTAAAAAAAGAAAGAAATAGAACTTTTCTCTGCTGGTACCTTGAAAGATGGATTGAATGCTGCAAGTAAAATATATGATGATATGATTTGTTTTCTTCCAATTAGGAAAAGAAAAAAATCAAAGCTGGGGTTAAAATTGGAGCTTTCTATGGCTTATTAAAGAGAAGAAACTTTCCCACATCCAGAATTCCCAATCCAGAAAATAAGTGTCCTCCATCACGTTCAAAACAAAGCAGCATTCTTTTTCAGTGAATAATTGAAATATAATCATTTTTTAAAAAGCCTCAAAAACCCCATTGTTGAAAGATCACATCAAGCTCCCGTTGACTTGCAGTGAATGGATGGTGATTTGGCTTACAGTAAACTCGCCCTCTCCCCTGCCTGTTGTTTTTGATGATATAGAAGGATGGGGGATTCTAATGTGATCTGCATCTCTTTATGCTAATAAAAGAGTGTCAGCCCATGTTCACAGACAACACCATAAAGCATGAACACCAAATGGGAAACAAATGGGGTTGTGATGCCATGGTGAAATAAACCAATCAACCCTGAAACACCTAAGATAGAGCGCATCCCTTTCTTCATTCATTCTTCATAGGAAGGCAATGAAAATGTCTCTAAGTGAATCTGATTAAACACACACACATACACAACCGCGCACAGGCGCACACCACCTCGGAGCTCGGGAAGGTTGTAAAGCACTAAATTCTTTTGATTTATGAGGCAGCCTTCACTGCACTGAGCAAAACAGCATGGCAAGGCAGGACCCCACTCCCTGAAATTCGTTTATTAACATGACCAGGCCCCGAAAGTGAACAAAAGCACTGGTGCGGGGGGTATAAATCATTAATACAGTGCAGGGCAGTGACTGCATTTCCTCTGTTAGTTGGAGAGCTCCTCAGCACAACAGGGATTTGGGGATTGGAATTGGCTGCGGAGAAATACACTCCATCATTCTCAGTGCTGATGATTCTCACAGCCTCGTTCTTTTCCCTCTCCCTCCTCCTCCCCAAGTCCAACAGCCTCAAGGTTTGTTGCAATTCATTAAACAAAATCTTAATGACTTAAAAAACAAAATCGGGAAGAGCTTCGAAGTTGACAGATCGCCTGAACTCTTTCCCCTTTTGACAAGTCCTGCCTTTAAAGGAAAAGAGAAGGACCACTGCATTAATTGGAGCGATTCTTCCTTCGCAGGAGCCTGGCAGAGGTCTCTCCGTAAATCATGCAGAACCAGCCCTTGGCCGGCACCGTGAGAGGGAGGACATAAGGATGGTGCAGAATAGTGTTTCTAAGTGTCCGTTCTGGGGCGAAAGTGTCTGGTTTTAAATATCAGCTCTCCCACCTATGCCTCAGATTCTGCATCTAAAAATGAAGCCATTAATTTCAACTCCCTAGAGGGTTTTTGTGGGGGATTAAACGTAGTAATCCATGTAAAAGTGCTTAATCGTGTGCTTGTCACAAAGCACTCCATAAAAGTTATTGATTATTTCATTATTTTAATTATTTTATTATTATGATCATCACTGTGGAAGAAGGCTGGCTTCTCTGATTACCTAAATGGTCTTACAAGCCGCATCTCCTACTGCTGACCGAAAGGGCCTCACTTTTTTTAATGGAACCAAAAAGAGCCTTAAAAAAAAAAAAAAAAGAAGAAGAAGCAAGAAAGGAAAGAAGAAAGAGAGAAAAAAAGAAAGTCTCCAGGAATCCCGAGTCACGTATTCTAAATGGAGACCCCCAGTGGAAGGTTCTGCCATTGCACCATGAAGAAAACAGAATTTCTCCACTCAACCCCTTCCTGTGTTAACCGCTCACTGCAAACCCTTAGGGGAGAAAAGGAAGAAAGAAAGAAAGAGAGCAAAAAAACAAAAATTGCATAGTTTTATACTGATTATTTGGTTGAGAGAACCTGTCAGCGACTTTAAGCAGAGACAATAGATGGATCCAAAGCAAAGCTACTTTCAGGAGGCGCTTTTGTGTTTTCAGAAATTCCAGCAGCACCGGATGAAGTGTGATGTGGAACTAGGAGTCCCACACCTCATTCTTTTGCTTCGGAATGAAGAGCAGCAGCGGGGAACACACCGCTGTCTCCTAGAACAAATTCAGGGCCTGAAAATGCACGTGTCAGATCTCCTGGTCCATCCTGAAACTGGGGCTCCTTCCCAGGCATCAGTGCCAAGCACCCAGGCACCACGGGGCCCCAGAGGGGCCCGCCAGACTCTCCCAGACTCTCCCAGACTCTCCCGGGTGACAATCTACACGTCAGCAGGGCCCCACCATAGTAAAGCTTATGGGGATAAACTTCAACGTGTGGCCAGGTCCCCAGCATCACAGAATAATGACATTCTGAATGGAAATAAATGAAGGGCCTGCAGTGTGATTCTGTCAGCTTTTGAAAGTAAATAACTTCACTACTGACAAGAGGAAGACAATTTTTATTTTCCCTCCTCCTGTCACTGAGCATTAATTGAGCTGTGTAGCCATATTACAATCCGGAGACACCAGCAGGACTGACAGCTCGCTGGAGGAAGAAAGAGAAGAGCCCCCAAACAGGGTAGTGGAACCAAAAAACCCCAGAGCGACACCCAAGTCCCCTGTGTCTGTGTCCTTGGCAGACCGGGGGTGCATGAATCATGTTAATTTGAGAGAAATGGAAAACAGAACTGTATGTCCAGCTTCAATAAACAAGTCCTACGTTTCTTTAACACATTCCTTCTCCCATTTCACAAACATCTATAGGCTGCTCACCGCAGCCCAAGCACTGAGCTAAGCGCTCCCATTTGTATCTTACTTAATCTCACAAAGAACAGAACCAAATGGTTATTCTAATCCCTGTTTTTCTGAAGGAGCAATTAAGGCTCCAAATCAAAAAAAAGTGACTTGCTCAATTCAGCTGGATCAGCTAATTGAATAACGGAGTTGGGATTAAGCCTTCAGCTGATGACTTCTGTCCTGTATAACTTCAGAAACACTATTTTTTTTTAACTATGCTTTGGGGGAAACTGGCTCTAAATAGATCTGGATTTCTCATCTGAATTTTGCAAGACCCTTGAGATGGACAGCTGGCTACTGAAGTGTGTAAACCTCGCTGTCCTTCTGGGTTTAGATATCAATTTTGCTCTTACCTTTCCTAAGAGCAGGACCAGTCCCATGCATGGATTCAGGCAGAGGAAGAGGAAGGAGATCTACTAAGGGGAAAAAACTGGAGATACTTGTTTTTGTTTTGGATAAGGGAAATCCAGTTGTCGATGTGAATCCTGAGCAAATATCAAACGCCAATAAGGAAAAGGCTCATTGAGACTAAACCTTTTGTGCATTTACTCATCAGTCCTAGGAAATTGGAGTCACTTAAATCCTACAGCTGCCTCTACTTTGTTCTATGGCTGCAAAAGGGGAGGAAAAAAATAGTCATCGCATCCCTGTGAACACATACTAACCTTCTGAATGTTTTTCACTACACTTCCACTTTCTAATTTTGATTCTGTTTAAAGGCACATGAAGAAGAGGATCAAAACAGGGTAAGACTGTTCCTCAGCCAGATCTTGGTTGAGTGCTAAGGACTGCAGCAGCTCCCAAGTCCCAGCACCATCATGTCAAAGCTCTCCTTGGGATGTAGACGTTGAATGTACAGCTATTTTCCTTTAGTGTGCACTACAGGCTGTTGATCTGGCAGAGGGAAACAGAAGCAACACAAAGAACCTAGCTCTAGTCTTGCCCCGTGCAAATTGGGTCAAGGTAGGGAAATGAGTAATTCCAGAAAAGACATGGCAGAGGATTCCCAGGAAATCCAGCAGGTCAAGCTGAAGTTTTCTAGAGTGTTATACTGCAAGCATGGTTCACAAGATGGCACAGAGACAAACAACGTAAGAGACTATCTGAGGACAGGGGCCTTTGCTTACTCCCTGGGAGAGTCTAGAAGGACAGCTGGAGTTCCATAAACCTAACAGGAGTTCCATCAACATGGAATGGGTGCATGGGCAGGTGGATGAATGAACATTTACTTCTATGTATGTTGGGAATGCATGATCACAGGTGTGATTCGGTGACTATGTTTTATTTGCTTTGGGCAAGTCTATGTTTAACATCTAAGTAAATTTTTTAACATATTAAGTACGTATCAATTCTGGTAATGGGTAAATTGGCAGAATGTAGGAAGGAGTGCCTGAAAATCTGAGACTTGAGAAATATTGGACCACTATAATTATTTCCATGTTAATAAGCAGGCCCCTTGTTAAAGTTTTGACAAAACATACCAATAGGACTGTCAGTGCTCCAGAGTCAACGTCATTTTTTACAGTTTTGATAGACACTTTCTCTCTAACTTCCTCCCCATCAAACCTGGTTCCAAATCCTGGCTCTTTTTCAGCCAGGACCAATCAATCAGGGCTTCAGCATGTCAGGAAGGTCAGAAACAGCAGGGAAATCCTCTTTCCCCAAACCCTCTCAGGAGCCAGGATGCTTCAACCACACAAGCTCTTTCCTAACCATACGTCAGGCTCAGGAACTGAATTTCAGGATCCTTCAGAGAGAACCCTGACCAGTCATGTCTCCCAGCAGAGATGGCCTGCGGGTCCATTGCTCACTTCTCTAGCTCGCTAGTATTCAGCATGGTTAAAGGTCTGGAGCCAGGGCTCTTCTGAGCCATTGTGCCTGAAAGCTGACCCTATGTGACACAGCCACCCTCAATAGGACTGGGTGAGGCAAGCTGCATCATGCTGACAGCCAAGGGCCAGTGCTCAGCCGGGCAGAGAGTTCTCTTGGGCAATACCCGGAAACAGGAAACTTTACTGATGAATGGAACTTTCTTCGCTTTTCTTAATTGAATTAAAAAGCACACTGGGACACCTCTCCTCGTTCATTAAAAAGGTCTCTGCAGACGGGGCAATTACGCCCACACTTGTCAGCTCTGCTTCATTCGCAGGATGACATGTCCTGCTCATCACCCAGCCCCCTTAGGCACAGAGGCACCAACCTGATTTTGTTTACAATGCTGCCATTTCTTTCCCTTCCACAGGACTATTATTTGCCTGACAAACCACACTGTTTTTACCCGGCCAATATGAATAAACAAGCATTATGTTTCCTCTTGGGGCAGAGAACCTGGTTAAATGAATCAGAAAACCCTAAAAAAGATTGTCTACCCTCAGTCCATCAGCTACTGGAGAATTACTCAAGGGTCAGCTGTAAGGAAAACAGATGGCGGGTGAGCACTAATAACACGGGCTTTCTCCAGCCGGGCAGTGGCAGGAGCGGCCGGTTGCATGTTCTGACACAGAAACCACCTCGAAATGGCAGGCAGAGCAGGCAACGGGCGCAAGGCTTCGGTCTGTGGATGAACAGATGCTTACAATTTTCACAAGTGATTGTTGGACTGAGTAATTTTAAAGCGGAGGCAACCCACGTGGCCCTGCAGTCAAGGTCTACAACACTGCCCCTCCATAGGTCGCCAAAATGGGGGAAGTTCAGATGACCCCCAGATCACCTGAAATGTGGGCCTTACCTGGCTGATAACAGCCTAACATTTCATGCCTTCTCCCCTTAATTGGAAAAGATCAGAGAAACAAGAAAGGCTGGTTAACCAACTTATGACATAAGACATCTCTCTAGAAGGAGACTGAGGGACCCCTCTTCTATCAGGCAGCCACCTGGGCCTGGAAATGTACTCAGTCCAGCCACTGAAATTCCTTTAAACAATTCAGACATGAAGCTAATCTAATTCTTTCCTGTGTTATTGACACTATTGACTATCCCCAATCCACAGCACTATCTAATAAATCAACATGGGATTAAGCCAAAAAGAAAGAATGTGATAAAATGCCATTTGGCCCCCTACAAATCATCAGATGGAGTAATACAAGGTAAGTAAATGCAATGAGAATTGAACTTTTCTACACAGCCATAATTGTTATGGCCTACCTAATGTTTTCAAAATTTATAACCATGGCTGGTGCATGGGGCCACCAACCCTCCCCCCAACTCCTGCAGCCTTCGTAAGAGAGCCCATTTTCCCCGGGTGATTCTTTGCACTGAGAATCACTTTCTAATTAAAGACAGAAAGGGTTGATATGCAGGATTCAGTTCAATTGCTTTCGATCTGAAGATGTCCACAGTGAGCAATGGCTTCATTTACCGGGAATTACCCTTTGTACAAACCACTTCACTACTTAAAACAAACCACATGGATCATCATTAAGTGGGAAAAATTACCAATCTTCGAATATTGACAGTGGCATGGCCCACTTTAGAGGCTCTTTTCTCCCCCTTCTAATGTGGATTGTAAGCATTTGACTTATTTTTAAATTTAGGCTGATAAAAAGGTTCTGAGTGAATAGGGCTCGACGGATGAGAAGCTTTCTTAGAACTGAATTGGGAGACACTGATGGTGGTTTAAGAACAGAGAAAATTAAGTTAATATGCTACTGATCCTCTTTCAGGGCATTAAACTCAGTGTAAAACACACACACACACACACACACACACACACACACACAGCCTCTGGGGGGAATGTAACACGTAGTTTGCATCAGAAAACAAATCTGATGTTGCCTCACCATACCTTACTGTGAGATGGGTGCTATGAGGTTTGCCCTCTGTGACTTAGAATGGAAAAAACCATGTCTAGATTTCTGTGTCCTGTGTGTATATGCATGTGTGTGTGGTTGCTTTCTATTACTCTCTATCAGGAAAACAAAATAGGTTCTCTTCTGACCTAGCTTGTTGCAAACCCCCGAAGCAGAATTGTATTCAGAATTACTCCTCAAAGCAAAAAATGATTCAATGAGTACTTACTTTGGAACTTGGAAGATTCTGCAGTGGGGATAGGTGAGTTCGAAGTTCAGCTTCAAGAAAGTTCACCATCAAAGAAGACATACCATGAAGCCACTGCAGTGTATCAAGAAAGAAGATTGAAGCAGGGACTTTCCCTGGACAGCAAGATTGAAGCCAGTTTTTCCAAGGACTACTTGTCTGTTCCATCTGAAAGTGGTTGATGACCATAAAATATATGCTCTACACTAGATGTGTGTGTGTATGTGTCTGTGTGTATGTATACACAGTTGTGTGTTCCTCTGTGAGTACATCACTCGGTCTGATATCTAGATGCCAAAAGGACTCTTTAGCATTATCCCATCTTGCAGTTCTAAACTGTAATAGCATCTCAGATGTGGGAAAAAAAAGAGAGGAGGGGAAAAGAAAAGAAATCATAGCTGTAAGTAAACACTTATCTAGATAAATGTTACTGGGACATATAAATAAGTGACGCAGGATAAGTCAAATGATGTGAACATCAAAGTTGCCTCTTCATGGGCCTAAATAAATAAATTATTCATGGAAAAAGTGTTATTTTGTCACTTACACTAGGCTATTCAGAGCAGACTCTGAGGCTGAGGCACCTCAATTGATTTTTGTTTTTATGAGTTGTCTTACGGACAATTCCTGGAGAATTTAGGAGGAAATGTTGGAAGTTCAGGCTGAGACAAAGAAAGCATTTGATGAAGTCATTTTCCTTAGCTACTGGATAAGAAATAACCATATGAAACTTCATTCCAGAAAAAAAATATACTTCAGGGAAGACTCGATGGCCCCTGATCAGAGTTTTTGAATTTAGAAAACAGAATGATGAATGCTCCAAAATAAGATCATAGTGGGTTGATTACTGTCTTATGTGATTGGTGATCTGAATGTCAAAAACTTCTGAATTGTATTTATTCCTAAATGATTATAAAATAAAATTTTTCCGATGAAGGTGTTACTTATCATAAATGTCACCTGATTCATCCATTTGATCAATTTACTTTGAGATCAAAGATTAGCCTTCTGTTCACCAAAATTAGCTAGAGATCCAACAATAGCTACAGATTAAAGGCAGATAAAAAATATAGTAGTGACGTCTGGGTATAACATATGTAAATCATATCGATTAGTAGTATGTGGAGATTAGAGTGAACTATTTCACCCTCCTAATCAGCCGATTGTCTGGAATGCTAAATAAAATAAGTGACTTATGGCTTCTAAACAAACTATCAAGAGAGTCATGGCCAGGTGAGACGACCCCAGGTATATCACTCCCACCCTAGCGGTGAGCTTCCAGGAAGGCCTAGAAGACCTGATTCTGAATAAGACAGGCAAAAATAAATGTCTGCCTTTATCATACTTCAGGCATTCAGTGAAACTCAGAAAATACACACGCACACACCATTCTGACATTATGTCATAGTATCACATTATAAACACTTTCACAGATAGCATTGCAAGTCCTTTCAAGGGAGGGGGAGATGCATTCCAAAGCACATTTCAAAATCCACCCTCCATCTATCTTCATATGGAACCACAACGCTGATTTAGTCACTTCTAAATATTTGTTGTGGCTGCCAATGTTTCCTTCAAGCCTCCCCTTTCCAGAGCAGTAATGTTTTCCTCGTGGGAGACACTGCCTGGAAGATACTGAGAACCTTTGTGTTTACCCTATCTGTTTGTTCTTCTCGTGGCAAGGATAACCTCTCACTCAAAGTCACTATCTTCTTTCCTAAGTTGTGCCCAAATGAGTAAGCCAGTTTAATAATCAAGAAGGCAGAAACATGGATGTATTTTTTTAAAAAAACATCCACACCACCACACAAAGGAACAGAGAACACTGAGTATCTATAGCATTCTAATTGTTAGGTAAATGCTATTCAAATTGATTAATAAATAACATGAAAGAAATGAATGTAAAAGGCAAAAGATCAACTCCTATTAATAATTTGATAAATCCAACTGAGGCTTAGCATCTATTGAAATGCTCATCAGAATTCTCTTCTAGTGGAAATAACTGGTATAAAACGTACACATACACACACATTTACACACACACTCACAGCAAAGGCACAGAAATTGTAGAAGATAAAGCATATAATACGTTATCAATACTCTCTTGGGAAATGCTTCCTGGTGTGTTTTACTCAATAATCAATATAATAAAATAATATTTAATAGAACAAATTTGTTCCCAAGATTTTTTAAGGCTGTTCTCAAAAAGAATTCCAACAGAAAATACACCTAAGAATTTTTTTCTGGAGGTAAGCAACTTGGTAGAAAAATCACCCAAATGTTCAAAACAGAATCCTGACATTTTATAAAAAAAACATATATTCCCTTAACACAGGTTGAAATTGAAGGTCTTGGGGAAGGGGGCCACTCTCAACTCTTGCAAAGGAAGTTCTGTTCACACACTCATGTTAACAAATGGTACTCTTGAAGTGAGTCCATGGAAAAACAGATAAAATGAGTATCATCACTGTAAACTCTTCATAGAATAGGATGAAGATCCTGGGAGGGGAAAAGGATTTGCATCTGCATGACAAAACCCCTTCTAGCCCTTCAGTTCACATCCACAGCCCCTGACCAATGACAGAGAGCTGGCCTGTCACCCTACAAGGGCAGTAATGAGCTATTTCCAAGCCCAGGAACCAACTCAGGAAGCAACCCTTCCAATAAAGAAAGAATGACAGAGCAGAGAGGGTCCCAGGGAAACACCCTGAGAAAAAGAGCAAGGCTAGGAAAGACTGAAATGTGTACAATGAATGGAAAATAAAACAGAGACTCCCTCGGCAAGACCACTAAGGGGAAGTGAAAGTGGGGGGGACCCACAAAAAAACACCCTTACACATGCCAACAAAGACAACATCCTCAACAGCTCACCTTCATCACAGCATTGCCAGCGAGTTTGAAGGCAGACGGGGACTGACACACTCCAGAAATCCAAATGCTCCGATCCCATGCGGACCGAATATAGCACCACACGGACAAACTTAGGAAAACAAACACACATACACACACCACACACACACACACACACACACACACACACACACCACACCCCCCACACTTTTCCTTTCCACTCCCTACTCAATCAGCTGAATTAACACTGCAGGCACCCGAGTGCCTCCACACAAACTCTTAGCATCAAAGGAGTCTTACTTAGATCACCATGGAACGCACTGACTCAAGGAAGATGGTAGCAAGAAAAGGCAGTTTTCCATTTCAAACTCCCGGAACCCAGGCTTGGGCATCAGGCGGTTTTAAAGTATTCAGACAGGTGCAGACACAGCTCAGCGCCAGGTGCCCGGGGCTTCACCGAGAACCGGAGGCTTCCACCCACCCTTCCCATCCCAACGTGGGAGCCCCCTCCCCAAAAACCTCCGTAAGGCACCGAAGCGCAGCCCGGGACGCACGGGGAGGCGTCTGGCCGAGCCCCCGGGAAAGCGGCCACCGAGGGCAGACGCGCGCCTTACCTGCTGTAAGTACATAAAAGTCAAGGCACACGAAAGCTGGGGACACATGCCCACGTTGGGAAGCGCCACGCAGGTGGCCCCCGTCAGAGGATGCTGCATCATGTCTCTCTGGCGCCCGCCGAGCCCGAGTGGGGACGCTCGCATGCAATCACGTTGCTTGCTGCCTGGGCGCTACAATTTTTTTTTTCTTTTTAATTTTGCTGATTATCTAAATCAACGACCGGTGGCTGTCTCTCTCTCTCTCTCTTCCCTCTCTCTCTCTGTCCCTCTCTCTCTCCCCCTCTCTCTTCTTCCCTCCCCCCCCACCGCACCCCGCCGGTCCCTCCTCCCTGGCTCTCCCAGCCTGGGGCTGTGCTAGATCCTGGCGTTCCTCTGCCTCCAACTGAAACACTTGCGGGGACCTGGAAACTACTTGCTTCCCTTCGCGCAGTCGCCTGGCTTTTCGGGGTTGTTGGGCCTGGCTTTTTGACCCCCCAACCCCACCCCGCAAAGTGGAAGGGGCCCCCCACCCCACGCCCCTGTGAAGGTGACACGAGAACGGGCAGAGGGAACTTCCCTGAAAGGTTCAGGAGGTGCGGGGCTGCCCTCCCGAAGAGGCTGGAGGGGAGGGGGGCAAGGAGAAAAGGAGGAAGGGGTGGGAGGCAGGGGGGAGAGAAAATGAGGGGGGGAAGAGGGAAAGGGAGAGGGGTTTTGACTCACACCGAAGCTCACTCCGTTGGTCCTGATGCTGCTGTCTCCTCATTTGTCAAATGGGTCCAGGGGAAAGATTTTCTTTTTTTTTTTCCTTCCCTCCCCTTTGCGTTTTTTTTTTTTTTTTTAATTTTTTTTTTTTTTTTTTTAAAAAAAAAAAAAAAAAAAAAGACTCACCAAAATTTAAACCGGGTCTGCTAAAACCCTCCGCGGGTGAACAGGCGAGCGAGCGCTCCGCGTGCCCGGCATCAGGCGAGCTGGACAATTAGCGCGATGGCCCAGCTGGGACCCACAGGGCTAGATGTTGGTAGCGGTGCAGTTTGCCCGATTCCTTGGCAAATAAACACAGAAAAGGGATTTCCCCTAGGCAGAGGGTGGAGTACTGAGACGGGAGGGGCTGGGGGCAGGAGGGAGCTGGGGCTGAGGGAGGGGAGGAGGTTTCTGCACCCCCCACCCCCCCCCAGCAGCGCACACAGGCGCCGAGGCACCCCCGGGCGTTTGGGGCGCAGCTTTCGCTCTGTGCCTTGCCTTGGTTGGGCAGGCAGCCCCGGGCACAGGGAACCTGCCCCTGAGCTGCTCAATGAGAGCAACCGCCCGGCTGGCGTGGAAATCAAGCCTGTTGGACTAACGCGCCAGCTCGGGGCAACTGCGAGGGGGCTTCTCCCAGCCCAGAACACCCTCTCCTCTCAAATTATAAATGCACAGGGTAGGGAAGTCCGTGTCTGATAAGAGATTACTCCGTCGGCTGCAGGGAGCAAATTACAATGGTTTATTTATTTATTTTTTTGTTCTTGCCTGGCCAGCCCTCCTTGGCCAAATTAACATTCTGCTCTTGCAAGCGGGTCTCCCTTCCCCTTTATTTTATGAAGTAATAATTATTCATTAGTGGATTTCGTTAGTCTTTATGCAATAAAATAGGATGTGATCTGCAAATCAAAAGAAAATATTAAGACTCTAACTCGTCCTTGGTCCCCACAGGAAAAAAAAAAGGCACATTCTTGCATTCTTGGCAGCAGTAAAATCGTGATCAGGAATAGTAGCCATATTTTTTAATATAGATTTTGACCTAGTGATTGGATTTTCTTTTTTGTTTTCAGACCAAGAGATCAGCTGTCTGAACAGCATCTTCTTGGGTTATTGGGCTTCCTGAAAGATACCTTACTGACAGCTTCTCACTGACCTGCAGAACTGAGCCGTACCTGAGACGGGATGGGGGCTCCCTGACAAAATAATATTTGGGGCAGAACCCTGGAACTGGCCACCAGGGTCATCCCAAATGTCCCCTCCTCCTCCTAGTGGCTCACCCCAACAACCTCAGCCAAATGATGGCTCTGAACCCAACCATCAGCTCGCAAGGCACAACTCACTTTGCAGGCTAATCAAAATGCTTTCTGAAGAAAATAAAACTAATTATCCCACAGCTCTATTTTTTGTTGTCTTTCTGTTTGAAATAACTGTACAGTCTTCCCTCTTCCTAACACTAGGCCCCAAACTGCTGTTTCTTTCTACTTTTCATCTTGGAAAACCAGTGCCTCCAACCACTCTGGGTCTCACACATCCCATCAATTTAGCAGAGACACAGTAGCAAGCTTAACCCTTTAGCCTTAGGCAGAAGTTCACGGCGGGGGAGGGGGGGAATTGGGAGAATAGAGGCTGGTATTCTGTACTCTCTAGTATTCTGGTATTGGGAGGTGCTGGCAGTGGTGAGTTTGAAATACGTTTGCTGTATGTTTCATCGGAAGTCACATTCATCATACAAGCTCTGATTAACGAATACAAGAATTCCCTCTTTCCTTCTCTTACTTCCTACCTGCCTTTATTTATTTATTTTTGCAATTCACAAAACTAAAGAGAAAGTCACTCCACAGAACACAAATGGAATAAAAGGCCAACCATTCTGCCTTTCCAATCCCCACTCTCCCTTTCCCATTCTTTACTGTTGCCTCAAGCAATCTGCTGTACTGACGAGTTCGCACCGCTTTCCTTTATTTTTTTTTTTCTCTTGCTGGCATTGGAAAAGCCTGTAAACACCCCAAGAAAAGAAGAGAATTTTTTTCCTTCAGCTAATTTTCATAAGAAACATGATAAATAATACATGGCACTTTAATAAGACTTTATCTGAATGGTTTAATGAAAAACAAATACATTATGTAAAGACCCAATAACTGCTCTGGGCTGCACTGAGCCAATTCAGATTTTCCAGTCCGTTTTCGCCCCAAAGTTGGAACCACTCTGTGGTGATTAGATCCCCAAAGATCCATCTTGCAATAACGGGCTCAGACTTTCCCTCAAACTTAGGTCTTCACAGTCAGACGCACTGAAGATCTGCAAATATAACAATGAGAACCAGACCTAAAACCACATCAAAATTATTTGGAGTCAGGCTCTGTTCTCTGGATAACTAAGCATGAACATTCCTCCACTCTGGTACATGCAAACACAACATACGGGGATAAGTCCCCTCCCCACAGACACTGCAGCCATATTAAGGAGCCCAGGGGAACACTTTCCCATTGATAACATCAGTGCTCCTTAATCAGGACTAGGACATCCAATGACCCCAAATCAAATAGTAGCATCATATCCGCAACCATTGCCCAACTGATGGCAAAACTTTGCCAACCTTTTAAGCAGCATCTGGGGATAGTGCATCCATCTCAACAGAGACTGAGAAAGAGCCCCATCAAGACCACTAGATCCAGCATGATTCTCCAACATTAATACATGGGAGAAGTAGAGAAAGAAAATATTCTTATCTCTCTTAAAAAAAAAAAAAAAAAAAAGGGTCTGGGCACTTATCATCCAATGGGTTCATACTCATTCCAGGACCACCTGCCTGCATTTCAGCTACAAGGACCCTTCACGGAATGGTTATGCATACCCTATAGGAAGCTGAAAAGGTACAGGAAAATTGGCAATGAATAACGCCATCTTCAAATGAAACTTTCTTAGGCACAAGGCAACTACCCAGGTTTTGACTCATACAATAATATTGTAACTTGTTTCTTCCCCTGAATTTGCCAGTTATTTAAGAGAAGAATGGAAATCATTTTTTTTATTTTCTCTTTTTAATAACAATTTATTATGACTTTCCAAGGCTGTTAAAATAGCAGACGATCCACTAAAAAAATACTTTCTATGAGAGTGGCCATGCCTCGAGTAAGAAAGACTGCAGTTAGACAGAAAGAAGGACTTGATCTTCAATGTAATCATCTATACTGAGGTTACTCAGCAGCGATGTCAAGGTGTGACTTAGAAATATTTTACTTTCACTTCCAAATTTAATGAGGGCAACTACATATTCTCCATCTTCATTAAAGGGAGCATGAAAGTATCTTCAGAAAGCCTGATTATTTATCTCTATCAAAAGCACTTTGATCCACCGACTTGTTCAAATTCCTGAATCATATTTACTTAGTGCTGATCTCATTCCAGGCACTGTTCTAGTTCCCAGGTCTGTATCAGTGAGGCCAGACAAACAGAGGTCCCTGATATCATGCAGTTTACATTCTGGTGGGTGGGGGAGGGATGGCAGAAAGTTAATAATACAGATAAGAAATAAGTACAGTACAATAGATGGTGGTGAGTGCTCAGGAAAACAAAGAGGCAAGATGAAGATCAGGGAATGAGGGAAATCAGGGTAAGGCAGGTGGCAATGACATCTACCTAAAAACCACACTTGCTCTGAAAAATGCAGGTTTAGCTTCAAGAAAGCCCCCTTGTACCTGCTCCTTCCAATCGTACTGTCTAAGCCTAAGATTTGTTTAATACAGATGGTCCGCCGCTTGTGACGGGGTCACATCTGGATAAATCCATGATAAGGTGAAAATATCCTATGTCAAAAACATACTTTCTGCTTATGACATTTACAACTTACAATGGGTTTATCTGGACAAAACCCCATTGTAAATTGAGGAGCATGTCTCTATGA